GTGAGGAACCTGTGGCAGCAGTCACAGGCCATGTCTGGTAAAGCATTGCCAATGGTCTCCAGCAAGACTGGATTCTAAGAAAGACAAGAGGCACAGTGTTGTACTCTAAGTGCTGTAAGATCTTGAAAGGTAACAAAAATCCACATATTCTGCTGTATCTATGAAGAACTTCAGGTGATTCTGAAGCTTTGTAGTTTGTCTTCACATTATCACTGTCGTCAACAGCATCTAACATGGAAAATAAGCCCTGGGCATGGCTGATAGCCTGTGTCTCTAAATGAGAAGTAGAGAGCAAGACTCCTTAGGAAGATTCTTTTCAGCACGACTTCCCAGCTATGAAAGAAATGAGGAGACACATCATCAGAGAGGTCTGTACATCAAACAGTGATGTGCATAACCACAGAGAACCATTACTCACAGCTCCCCCTTCCCAAGTACTGGCAAATAGGGAGTGATTCAGGCACTAAGCAGAGCTACCTCATGCCAGTCTACAATATCACAGAGGCAAGTGTTAAAACCTGGAGATAATGGCTCCATGTCTGGCCAGGAAGACAGGCTGACAGCAAGTGACTCATCTGCCCACTGAGTGCACAAAGTGCTCATGAAGGAAATTCATCTGTAGGTTATCCCAGCAGACGGTCGCTGCCATAATGGATTAAATCCTCCCATCACTGGGCTATTGTAGCACTCAAAAAACATTAAAATGTACAATTGTTTGTGGGGGAAGTTGGCTGAAAAAGGGAAAGAAGTTAGCAATGTTCCCTGCCAAGGCACTGATAAATGGGTCCTGTAGTAATGGCAACTGTGACGGAGAGAGTAAATCAGCAGCAGGTATCATTTTCTTATTACTGTGTGCTTCTCATTTATCTTGGATGCTCTGAATTCGTGCTGTGAATCAGAAGCAGTACCACAACAGTAGTATTTCAAAGGTCTGGTAAAGAAAGATCTCAGCAGTATCCACTCTTTCAAATTTATTCTTTGGTTACTCACCCAAAACACTTGGGTGACTTGGACCTCTTTGCAGTTTGAAAACACAGCAGTGCTTTTCTTCTGATGATACAGAAAAGATGGGCCTTTATGTAGGCTCAACAGAATGTCCCTGATGTCCCTGTGCCTCCTTTTCTTTGCTTCTAACGGGTAAACAAGGCCCAAGTGGCCTTCCAGGCAGAGTGACCTCAGAGTGACTGGAGTTTGCAGTATCCTTCCTCATTTCCTTTGGGCATTTTTTTTCCATTTCTCATGTTTCACAAAAGGGAGAAGGAGATTCCTCAAATCTCAAAAACCTCTGCTCAATAAAGAAGCATTGCTCCATTCCATAAAGTATTATATTGAGTACTTCTGGGGAATCTGAAAACTCTTTTTACTGATATCTAATCTAACATATTATCCCTCAAAAATCATTAACAATTAAGACACCACAAAGAATAATAGAATTCTACCTAAATTCTACAGTCTATATTTGGATTTAGGTGCCTACAACATATGTAAGTGGTAGAATTCAGCTGTGCTCTTTCCAGGAGGTCTGGAAAGTTTCCAGGGCATTATCAAACTTCTAATGTGCTCAAACATATAGTTTTGAGTAATGCAAGCTTGACTTGCAACCTAGTAAAGACAGGTGCTAAACTGTGGGAGGTTTTAGGTTCTCAGCAAGAAGCACTTTGAACCTCTATTGGTTTCTTGTTTTCTCTACTCCCAGATATGCCAAGTGAAGCCACTCACTACCATTTCTTCTTGAAGGGACCAATCCACAATCAAGAATATGAGGGAGATTGAAAGGACAGAGTGAAATTATAATTACAATGCACTTTGCACAATTCTCATTGATTTAAGCTTAGGTATTCAGGACATCTGTAAACCAGGGCTTACAAATTACACCCATTAAAGAATGAATGTACAGCATTTGCTCTCACTAGTGAAATCCTTGGTTTAAGTGGGCTAATTTGTCCACATTAAACAGGAGCTCAGATGCCATGGTTTTTCTTTCTCCTTCCTTGGCTCTGTTCTCTGCCCTTTCTAGGCATGCTGTAAGGGAAGCTGCTGCAAATTTCCTCTTGCTGCCATAGCATTTCAGCAAGCCTGTGGAAGAGCTCACACATCTAGCCTGCCCTAAGTTCAGATATCTCCATACACATCCCTTGCTTGGTTGTACTGCTCTAAGGCAATGAAAGGATATATCCTCCAGGTCCAGCAGTATATGGAACTGGTTGAGTCCACCAGGCACTAGGCACATCAGGTACCCTACCCTAAGAGATCCAGTCTCCAGCAAGCTGCCAGCTTATTCATGGCTCTACTCACTGTGTTTTAAAAGAACAGTTAAACTGTAGATTTCAATTCAAAACAGATTTATGTTTTACAAAGGGATCTGGCAGTATTTTATCAGCCAGACTGCTGAATGGGACTACAAATGATGAGTACTGTATGACTGAAAAAGTATTCTAGGCTGAGTTTTACTGCATCTGAGGAAACATCTTTCACCTATGAAAGAATAATCTTGGTTTAGTTACCTTCCATTTACTCAGCTGCAAAGGTCTGAGGACACCATGAGAATGTCAGTGTCCAGTTCTCACAGTTGTTGTTAACTGGGCATTCCATTGGTTTATGAGACTTTGCATATTTTGTTAGTAAGGAAGACAGATGTCTGCATTACCTGGCGCTTCAGCTTTCCTGAAACACAGCTGCTCTGCCTCCCTGTGTAGTTTCCCTGGCCTTCAGGCAGATCTTACAGTGTCACAGCTTTCAGACTAGCAGAATACAAGCCACAGAACTTTCTCAAACACAACATAAGCATGGAGAATATGAAGGAAATTTTGAGTTTGATTTTCATCTCAATTTTGTGCCACTATGACTCCACTGATTTCAAGAGAGTTCTAATTTTCACTGGGCAGAGGGAAAAAGTCAATCAGCCTTCCACAAAAGAGTATTTAGGAAAAGATCCTGCAGTTCTTGGGAGTAGCTTGTCACACAACATTATGTAGCAAATTACATCAGATGAGGCCCTAGCTACCATTCTATAGGGATGTGATGAATAAAACAATACTCCCAGCATAGGTGGATGAAATTTCTCTTGACTAATTTATCAGTTTGTATGGCAAAAAAAGCTTGTGATGCTTTGTTCTGGCTTTGCACTGGCCAGCTAGGAACATCCATCAAACCAAACAGCTAGGAAAGAGGATTTTTGGTTACAAATGAGATCACCATGCAAGCAGCTGATGCAAAAAATTCAAGCAGGAGACCCATCATAAATGTTAATACCTCCTGAATTCTTGACACCTCCAGTTTCAGTGTAGACGCACCATCCTGTAAGGAACTTCAGATTTTCATGGGCAGTAGGATCATGAGTGCATGTCACCCTCACCCTGGTGTAGGCCTTTGTGAGAAGGAACATGATGGGGTGGCTCTGTGCTTTGGGAGGGAGGTGGATAAATTCCATTTGTTTTGCTTGATATCATGTTTCCAGTAGAGGAACACAAGGCAGGAACCACACAAGCAGTCTGGACAGCAATGTTTCTTTCATTTCCCCAAACTCTTAGCAGCATGCCAACTACTATCCTCACTGTTCTCATGATTCACTGAATCACTCTGACGTACATGGCCTTCACACTCCCTTATTCTCTAAAATTTTAAGTCACCTAGTTTCAAGGGAGCTACTTCTCAATTTAAGCAAATCAAGAGAGAATCAGAATACATGGCCTTCACACTCCCTCATTCTCTGAAATTTTAAGTCACCTGGTTTCAAGGGAACTACTTCTAAATTTAAGCAAATCAAGAGAGAATCAGACTTTCTTTGTGCTATCAAGCCTCTCAAAGGATTTACTGTGCTGTAAGCAATCACTCATTCCCTCTTTACCTTGCAGGTAATATCAAGAATATTCCGTGGAGAATTCAAATACAGAAGAACATTCCCTCTTTACCTTGCAGGTAATAACAAGAATGTTCCGTGGAGAATTCAAATACAGAAGAAACATACCAGGCAAGTCACTAGAAGAAAATTAAGGCTTACCTTTCTCTGTAAACATGCAATGCATTAGTAGATTAATTTCCCATTAGACAAATGAATGGCATAGGATGAAGCATGCTACAGAAGATGAACGGCATATCAGATGCAGTAAAGCTCTAATCACAATTAAAATAGCCATGTAAACATTATCTAAATCAGAATCAGGCTACACTGGGAAAGCTCTTCACCATGCTGCTAGGTTTGAAGTGTAGCTTATACGCCAGGGCTTAATGCCTGCATTAAAGTTACCCTGGTTACTGAGGGCTCCCATTCAATCACCTGAAATTTGTTGTCTCTGCAGTGGAGAACCGGGTGTTTATTACAAAGTTGGGTTTAGATAAAATGACCCAGAATACAGACACAGACACCTGAACCAGTGTATTTAAAACTGAAATTAAAAAACAGAAACAAAAAACTCTCGATCTGTTTCTTCAACATCAGCTGTGTGACAAGGAGCACAGTAAACAGAGATGGAGGAAGATTGTCATGATACTGATAATGCAGAAATACTTACCATAGCATGATGATAAATCACAATATTGGTAACAGCATATATAGATGAACAAAATATAACCACATAGCTTTGGCATCATCATTTCTCTAAAGCAGCATAGTCATTTGGAAGGACAATCTGAATCATGTGTAGCTCTATTACATGAAATGAAGAGTAACAGTCAATGAAGCCTGTTCTTCTGCAATATCATTACACTGTGGATACATGAACATAACCATACAAATCCACAGGTTTTGTCAGGTCAATCAAAACTGTCAACTGAAATAAATAGTCTTGGGAAGATTTTAGAAAACTAAAAGCCACATCAGCCCTGCAGTACATGCAGTCCATAGCTTATGGAAAGTATATGTCCTTACAGAAAGTATGTTCACTGGTGTTGACACAGGTCCAGGATGATTCTGTGAAATCCTTTGAAAACCATGGATACAATTGATGGAAGGGTGATGATTCAGAAGAACTGCATGTTAAGTAGTTGGGAGGATAGACATGTTACGTGCTTGGATTTTTCGTAACTTCTTCATCCCAATCAAAATCTAATGCAGCATCATCTAGCTCTGCTATGGAGAAGAGAGGTTTCTGTGTGACCACACTGGCTTTACCAGCATTTCCCAGTGCAAAACTCTTCCTTCTGCTAGGATTGCTCACGTGCATCTTCAGCGGTGGACTATGGCTTTCCTTGTCAGTGTCAATCTTAATGGCAGGGGAGGTTTCTGACTTTGACTCTGGATGGGATACAAAAGAGAATGCTGACAGCTTGGCTAACGTGCTGGAGCACACCTTCCCAGTGCTGGGGCCACCAAGCTTCTCTTCTCCCTCCCTCTTCTTCTCAGTGGGTGGAGGCAACACAGCATCAAAACTGACATCAGAGTGTATCGTTGCACTTCCTCTGCTCTCTTTCCCCAAGGTCTGACTCTGTTGCTCTTCTTTCCCTTTATTATTGCTTGATTGTTTTGCCAAACTACGTTTCCCTAAGCGAGTCAGTGTCACCTTGCCTTTCTCAGGAGGGCAGCATTCTTCTGCCAGTGGCTTTCCCTGGAGCTGCTCTCCCGGCTTAATAATAGTTTCACTCTGAAAAAGAGAAAAATCTTCACTTTTCTTCACTGAAGTATGTTCAAGTTTTGTCCTTGGTCTGAAAGAAAATTTAGCTAGTTTAGCAGCTGGGGGACTTTCACTGCCGAGGATTTCTGGCTCATGGGAACTTACTACCTTTGTTTCCTTCACTACTTGATCTTTACTTCGTTTTCTCATGGAAATTGTTGTACTTTTTGCTGCTAGAGATACACTGTTCCCTTCTTCCTCTAGCACAGAATCTGCATCACTTGAAAGATCTGGCAGGCCAGGGGCAGGTAATACTGAAGGAAGGGCCTTTGCCTCAGGGTTCTGTGTACTTGTAAGGAATCCATGTGATTTCTCTGTGTGCAGCTTCTGCCAGCGTTTAGAAACATGTTGTGTAATAACTGAATCCTGCACACTAGCACTTGGTGATGCTGGGTCTGGGATATTAGCTTCTGAAGAAGAACAGTTGTGTTCTCCAGTCCTTTTCCTGCTTAACTCGGAAACTTTGTCCTGTTTCAAAGGATCATGTGGACCCACTGGACTCACAGTTGCTAGTGACTCTCTTATTCCATTTCCCTTGCTTGATATTGAAGCAGATCTTTCTTCAGAAGCAAAACAGGATGTTTCACAGGAGGCTTTTGCAGCCAAGTTATTTGGAGATATCTTGAGCTCTGGAGACCTTTTCTGAGAAGCTTCTTCAGCATCAGTGCTGCTCTCTTCCAGCCTGTCAAACCATGCCAGGCTAACATCATTATTTCTCTTGCTGTATTGAATCAAGTAGTTTGTATTTTTGTTATTACCACACTCTGGACTGCCCGAGGGTTCTAGAGGAATATCCCCTGCACAGCTGCCTTCAGGCAAAGGAGTCTGTGGCCCAGAGTTATCCTCTTGCTGATTTGAAGGTTCTGACTGAGACCTTTGCTCTGGCTGCCCAAATGCATCCTCATTCAAACATCTTGTGGTAGTACCAAAATCTGTCTCTTCAGGCTTCAGGTGGCATGAATTTTCCTTTTGCAATCTATACAATGAAAAGAAAATTAAGCAATAGTAAAATGTTTTTATTTCTTTTTCTTTTCTTCATGGCATGAGTGCTAGTTACTATGTATGAAAGGCTACAAATACTGCAGGTCACAAAAGTACATTATTAACTTTCACATGCGGCTCTGAAAACTGGTGTTGCAGTCTGTGATTTTTCAGCACATTCAACTGCAAGTGTCAGAAATTAGTGTCCCCAATAGAAGACAGGCAGATGGGCAGAGAAAACAACCACCTAAACTCCACTTCCTTGGGAAATCAGAAAAAAAAAGCCCAACTAAACAGCAGCTTTGCACTACTTACATCCATTGCTACAGTCCCTTACAGATTATGTATTCTGTAAGACCATCTTTTAGAGCAGGAACCTATTTAAACTTTTTCTTGAACAAGGCAAAGTCTCAAACAAGCTAAGAGAATGGAAAACCTAGGTATTGCTTGGAATAGTGGTTGTTGCTGTGTTTCTCCCATAATCTCTATGCACTCAACATGCCAACAACCCCACATGACAGGGTGAAAGCATCTCAGATCACCTATAAAACTGAAATAGTCTGTGGCTATCCATAGTCTCTGAGGCCTCTAAAACAATAGAGGTGCTAGAATGAGTGATCCCTTCAGTCTCGGTAGAGCTGATCTTCTGTTGTACCTAAACATATCATTTCCAAGGGAGACAGCATCCTGGTGTTTGCTGTGTAGTGACACAAACCATAAGTGAGAAGCAGCTGTGTTCCATCCAAAAAGTGACTGACTGCAATTGTCTAAGAGAAATGATTCTTATACATTATAAACAGTGTCTCTGCTATATGAGAGAGAAAACACTGACATGTATGTTTCAGAGTAATTTTTATCATTGTTTACTAACATGTTTATTCTTAAATTTTTGATGGAAAGTAGCAGAAATTATCTAACTCGTCAAGAAGGGATGAAAGATATATGCTTGTTTTATTAACATAGAGTTTAGGGGGAATGCATGGAAGAAGTCTTCCAACACAGAATAGGTTGTTTTAGGGAGGACATTCATTTAGTATTCCCTAAGCTGCTTAAGAGAGGGAAGAAGAAATCAGCTTAATTTGCAGCACGGGGGATTCAGTGGGATATTGGGAAAACTTGTATGAGCATTAGGTGGGGCAATCATGGAAGAGACTACACAATGGCAATGGAAAATCCTCATCACTAGGAGGCCTTTGGAGCAGATAACACGAGCTCCTATCAGGAAGGTCTAATGCAGACCTGATCCTCTCTTTGTATTTGATCTCCCATCCTATCCTACATTTCTATGACCCTTGTGAACATCTCTGCTTTAAAACTAGCTTTTGTCTGTCCACATTCATCTGCTTTTATTGCCTCTGTGGTTATTTAAGATATCATTAATATGAGTTACAAAATAAGTCTCCAAAATGCTTAAAGGAAAAGTGCATTTCCCCAGCTGTTTCCATTACCTTTGACAACATTGATCTTTTATCTTCCTTTAACAACTAGAAAGTAAGACTTTCTATAGAGTCTAATCTCTTTTCAGGAAACAAATGCTATTTTTGGTATTATTTTTCTTCCAATCCTAGTGTTTTTCTCTCACCCTCAGTATATTAAAAGTTTTCTACTAAAAACAGCAAATACATTTTCCAAAGATTATTGCAACGAGCTGAAAACTAGATATGAGATAGTAAAAATTCCAGTGTGTAGAAACCAGAAATCACCCAAAAGAACAGAAGTTTAATTCAGGTTTATGTTTTCCATTAACAGAAAGGGAAGGGTCCTGACAAGCCCAACAGAAAAGAAGGCTTAAAAAAACATGCTGTATTTTACCAAGCAGGTAACAAAAGGTTATATAAAACAGTTTTCTCAGCTACAGAATGTGGTATTTTAACTCTAAGGAGCTCTGCCGAAACTTATCTGAGCACAGTATTGAGATATGAGTTGGGAACTGATTAAAATGCTCTTAAAATATTTGTAAATTCCATAACCCAGTGGGAGAAATGATCTTGTGATGTTCCCAGAGTGCTACTTTAAAACAACTTCCCTGATTATCCATGTCCTCTAAAGAACAAGTCCCTTCCCAATGTCAGACTCAATTTTTAGACTCTCCCCAGATATTATTGAGAAACAAATTCTTTTTCACTTGTGAATTATTTTGTTACAACCTGTCAAGTCTTTGCAGCTCTCTGTGCAGGATGTCTTGCAGCTCCAGCCGCTCCAGTATGAGCTCACACTGTGTTTGGTACTGTGCCATTGGGTTTTCTGGAAATGAGGTGTGTAAGGCATTGATGCCTCCAAGAAGTGCACCCCCCTGTATCACCAAAGAGATTAAAGAAATAAATAAAATAGGAAACTATCTTTATTATTCAGCACCAAATTTATACAGCAGAGACCATTTAATCCAAAATTCTCCCTCAGATATTTTAAAGCTTAAGGTAGCAAATATTAGCTAACTGTATTCACACAAATAATCCTACTAGGTTTGCTCTCACAGGCAAATTTGCTCACACACACAAAGCAGCTACATGATCAAGACTGCAGACTAATCATACTTGTTTACTTTTACTGATACAAAGAATGGGAAGTCCACCTAAGGCTTGAGAACATCATGACTGAAAATGAAAACTAGGACTAAAGAAGTTTTCCAAACACCTTGTAAAAATTCTGCCCATGTGAGCAACTTTTATAACTGAAGTTCTGACTGCTAGTTTTCATTACCTTTGCCGAATTTTCTAAAGGGAAAGACCTGGGTATTAAGGCTCGCCAACACAGGGCAGATTGTCTGGCAAAAATATTTCTGAATTGTTCTTTGAGAATAACTGACTATTCAGGAATAATTCCAGTGAATTGTAAATGATTTTAATCTGGGAAAAATTTGCTAAGCCTTGTAAAAACGAAGTAGTTTTTATTTGGAACAGAGCATCTGCACAGTGATTTGCTCCACAACAAATAACCTAGGATAGCTCTGTAGCTAACTGGGCTTTGGAACAAACCACCTTGCACCACTAACCTTCTCTTTCTCCACAGATTAGCTACCATTTACCTCTCCTGTCTAATCTATAAAGCTCAACACAACTAATGAACAAGATGCATATCAAGTGCCATGAGAGCCATAGCAAAAGTCAAAGGAGTCTCTAGATCCAGAAATTGCTACATATGACATCACGTGGACCACAAATTTTCTGGTTCTCCCATTATGAAATGTTAACATTTTGTATTAAAAATAAAAAACATTGAAAAACATAATTCTGGTGGCTAATTAAAGCCCTCTAAATCTACACACTGCTAAAAATAAGGCTGCCCATGCAACCTTTAATGCATCCCACTGAAGTTATCACTTGGGTTTTTTCTGTGTATCACTTCAGGAACATGATAGATCTATTCCACACAGTAGCACTACCCTGTCATCATGGAAAATGTTGCAGAACCTCTCTGCTCTGTCTGCTTCAAGAACTGGAAGGTTCATACTTAATGAGGCAGGGACTCAGCCTCTTGGTCAGGACAGTTAAAAGCAGCCAAAGAGAACGAGATTCTATCTCTGGGTTCCAGTCCTTGTGATTCAGAATGAGCCAGTTAGGAAAAGGTTTTGAAAGACAATAAACCTGTACGTTGGATCCTGATGTGGTGTGTGCAGAGAAGGAAACTGCAGACAACAGGAAATGTGCTCAAACACTCAAAGTGCTACTACTGTGAAACTGGGGCCCTGACCATCTCTCATGGGGTATGCTGCAGTGGACAGGTTCTTCTGGATTGTGCTTAATTCAGCTTCAGATCATAGAACAGGAGTAGCACCATCCCCTCACTTCACAAGGACTGGGTAAGGACAGACAAATTGATGTTTCTGAACTATTGAAATACACTGGAGATTAATTCTACAGAAAAACACATGAAGAAATTTTGAATATCAACTTTAGCACAGCAGGTCATAAACAAAATATTGAGCGAAACACTGACAAAAGTTGAGTACTGTCAACCTGTGACCTAAGGATCCATTGGGGAAAAAAGAGGACTACATGATCATATATCCTGAGATATATAGCCATGGGGTACAAAAATGTCTTGTCCTCAGTGACTTTGCAATGCTTTATTTGGCCATCACAATGAGCTTATTTTATATATTCTGTGTGTGTGTGTGTGTGAAATTCTAAGTGGGATGGAACTGAATTCAAGGTATCTGTTTCATTCATGTGCTGGTGCTTACATCCCTGAGGTATCTGCCCCTCTGAGATTCTGATATCATTTTGAGTAGAGGAAGGCAACCATATGAAAAACCACACACTGTGGAACCGAGGACAGAGGATCTAGAACAGAAAGAGAAAACCAGAAAGTATTACAGGGAAAGTTAGCAGAAAGGAAGGTGTAAAAGTTCCTAGGGATGGGAAGACAACATATAAAAAGGGAGTAAAAGGAGAGGGATTGGAAAGGGAATAAAATAGGGATGGAAACATGAACAGGAGAAGGAGGAAGACAATGTTAACTAGAGAAAATGAGGCAAAGAGAAGATCAAGCCAGGGGGGATTGGAATATGCTCACAAAGTAAGAAAGAGAAATATAAGGGTGAATTAGAGGACAGAACAAACAGAAAACCCCAGTGAACTAGGTTGGTGATGAAAAGAAAACTCACAAGAAATATCTGAACACTCACAGTAGAACTGTGAACTTTTAATTTTATACTGGCAAGAACATGACTTATTGCAAAGACAGTGTTGAAGACAGAGTTTGCTGAGCTAAAGGTGGCAGCCAGTCCTTCAAGCATGATACTGGTACTTTCTCATTTACAACCTCATCCGACAGACTGACAATTAGGCAGAAAGCACAGGGTGTATATATATAAAATGCTGTGGGATTTTTTCCTAGAGAAGGAATCCATTTCTGAAAATAAACTTTTGCAAGGAGTAAACATTGCATCTTTTAAAATAAAACAAATAAATCACTTCCTTCAAAAAGAAACTGTTTCAGTGAATCATTTATACTTTCCAGGAGGAAAGTAAAATTTCACCCTAGAGAGCAGATCTCCAATTTTCAGATTCCTAGCAAAAATATGCACATTTGCCTACTTGCTCATAAGAAGTGAAGAGTGGAGCAAATACAGTGAATACACCAACTGCTCCCAGGCAGGATTCTGCAGTCATAACTCAGGCAAATTTCTCACTGATTTAGTAGACAAATGCTTGTTAGGCAAACTGCAGCCCTTGAGGGCAAGGACCGTATAAAAATGAAACAGTGACCCACAGGTAATGCTGACAAGGCAGAGAGACACACAGATCATACATTCATTATTATTATTACATGGATACATTTCACTTTTTTTCTGTTAAAAAAAAAAGAAATTGGTATTTCAGAGCCCCTATATCCAAACCCACATTGCTTTGAAACCACTGTCCCATCAGATTCCCATCTAGTTAATTACAGGTTTAATTACAGCTAATGAACAGTTATGTGATGTCTTCTGCTGTTTCAACAGCTTCATATTTTAACTTAGATGCAGTGCTGTCACTGCAAAGCTGAGCTCTTCAAACAGTGCAAGATGAATTGCAGCAGGCAGCAAAATAATCTTTTCCTACTTAATAAGGTCAGGCCCTGTAGTAATTCTGAGATAAATTCCATTTGCAACGCTGTGTGGTAGATTATCTGTGTCACAAAAACAATTAGTCTCTCAACCCTCACCAAGAGAACAGGGGAGCTCACAGGTGCCTACCTGCCATATGTGACTTTGTGCATCTATCCTGAAGAGCTTTGCCTCCAAAAAAGGAGCATGTCTACTCCTGCAAAGGCCCGTTGAGTTAGTGGGTGCTGTACAAAACTGTTTTAATTTGAATATATTCAGATCAACCTATACAGACACATGGGAAATGCCATTTTGGATCAGACCACTCAGCTGTGCAGTGGAGCACACCATTTCTGACAGAGTCAAACCCAAGTATTTCAGACATCCTAAAAACCCCCATGCATAAAACTTTGGATAATCTGCTTGTGGTCATTTTTTTTCCTACTCCAAAGCATGAGGATTTATTTCTCTTAAAAATATTCTATCTGAAGCAATAGTGTCTATAATATTTTCCACATTTCCACAAAAAAGCCTCTATCATATTTGCATTCCTTTTTTTAATTCTAAATGTGCTGCTTTTTCAACATCCTAATAGTTTTACAGCCTTCCACATTTTTCATTGCCTTTTTACATAGAAACATTACATAAATCCACATGATAACTGGAATGCACAAATTTCAGTCCAACCAAAGTTTCGCAATTCTAAGGTTTCTCAGAGTAAAATTAGTCTTCTAAAAGTTATGAGTTTTACTATTATTGCCAACCTAATTTAAAATGATTTAATGGCAAAATAAAGTGTAGGTCTTGGCAACGGTTTGAACTTGCTCCAAAGGATGATTTAGTTCTGTCATACCTAGTTAATGAGTGACTACATAGCATCATGGAAGAAAAAACCCATCAGAGGCTATTAAACGCACAATTTCTGGCCCAAAAAGACTTTAAAATGCAGATTACCAAAAGTAAATAATACACCAAAACTTCACTTAGACTGCAAAGTCTGTAAAAAAAGATTTTCCAGTATAATCTCTGTTTAAGGATTTTAACAATCAAGACGGACTTGTCAAGGTCTCTGATGACCTACTTTCCATGTGTCTATAAAACCCTTTCCAAAGAGAAGAAGGGAGATGGCATAGGTCTACATGACAAATTGAATCCCTTAAATGTGGTATTGCAGCAGTGGCAATGTCTGCAAGAAACCTTACCTGCATAGAAGATTCCATCACTGATACAACAGTTACAGCATCTTCCACAGTCACAGTGTCCCTAAACATCAACCTGGCATGAGCTATCAAAAATAAATGGGTGCAAGTGTTACCAACGTCAAAAACCAAATATATGTACCAGAAGAGACAAGATATTTCTTCGGATCTTCAAAAACTCATGTTGGGTATAACTTAAACATAAATATAATAATTTTGATTTTAGTGTCTATTTCAACAGGAACTGAGAGGCTTAGTTTTACTACCAAACAATGTAGTGTGACTTCTGGATTACAGTGACAGTTCGAATAAAGATGCCCAAAACGTTAGAGATAAAAAATGTAAAGTGCAGTACAACAAGGAGTGTGATATGAAACACCCCTGTCTATACAGGTACAATGTCATCACCACAAAGTAAAGAAACTTTCATCACAGGTCAGAAAAAATTTGATTTCCTCTGACTGTTCAGTGTCACAAGCTTACTATTATTTCAAAGGCTTTTCTCTACAATAGCTTTATTTTTACTTCCTTCCGTTTCTTTACAAACAAAACTGATTTTTGTAAACAGATATCATGCAAATAATTTACCATGTGAAGCCTTACTCCTGCTTGGCCATAGAAACACACTCCTTCTTATTCAGTCAGGGAGAGGCAGGTTAATTAACATCATCTGCATAACACTTTGAAGGAACAAAATGCTGCTAAAAGCCCCAATCACATGAATGGGTGAGAATGGGAGAAACACCGAATGTGAAAATAACATGTGTATTCCTAAAAGTCAGGA